AGACCCAAAGACCCAGAGAAAACTATTTTTATGTTTAAATTTCAATGAGGAATGGACAGTGTATAGAATTGTAATTGGACCAAAGATATATCTAATGATAACCAACTGAGGAAGGCAACCCAGCCAAGCCTGAGTGTCCAGATTCTTCTAGGTCTCTCTGTGGAGCATCCCCTCTTCCAGGTGTGGGCCAAGAACCTCTGCAATGAGGGCATCCAAGGGAGAAGCGAGAGTGTAACCTTTTGAAGTATTAAGGCTTGCTTTTGAAAGGAGACATTCTAGTTGTTGGAACTACCTTGGAAAAGCAAATTCTGTTTTGTGACTCTCTTCAAGTAAGAAAAAGGGGTGGGAGGTGGTAGGATGGTCAGATAGTCCTTAGTTCTGAGGCCCTTCAAGTCCCCTCCAATTCAAAGTACTCAGCACACTAAGGCATCATAATCTGGGGTGCTGTGTTTTTAACCCAAAGAGATTTTTAACCAAAATCTCTAAGAGTGGTATCAAGAGAGTGACCTTTGAGATCTGCTTACCTGGAGTATAATTCACTGAACCCATAAATTGGTAGAAGTACTTTAGCATTAACTTTAATGACTTACTTAAAAATAAATATGCATAGGGGTAGAAAGGTGTTATATCTCTGAACTAAAAATAGTAACAATGTATTATGTGATTACAGCATATGGATGAGTGAACTGATCAACAGCAATATTATAAGGAATCGGAGGAAATAATTGGGAATATTCTTTTACAAGATAACTGCACCATCTATAAAGTGTCATTATATTATTTGAGGGTGGAACTAAGTTTGTTAGATATGTATTTAAAACTCTAGGACAATCATTTAAAAATTTAAAGATATAACTAAAACTTAAAATGGGATTTCTAGAATTCTCAAATAAAACTGAGAGAACAGAAAAAGTTGAAGTTGGGAGGAGGAAAGTAGAAAAATTCAGTGACTAAGAATGTTACAAATACATTGAGTAGTAACCCAACTATGACTAAAGCCCATAGTAGTAACACAACTATGAAGTGTGAATGGTCAAAGTATACCAATTAAAAGACAGATTGCCAGAGTGAATAAAAAAGCAAGACTCATGTATATGTTTACATAAGAAAACTCACTTTAAATATAAGACACAGTTAAATAAAAAAATAAAGGGATGGAAAAAGATATACCATATTAACACAAATTTTAAAAAGCTGGACAACTGTGTTGATTACAGACAAAGAGACTTCCAAATAAGGATAATTATCATGAATAA